TAAATATAAATATATTTTTCAATAAGATAATATAATTAATAGTATAAAGTTAATAAAAATTAGTCCTTTATTTAATTGTAAATTATTTAGGGTCGTTGCGTAAAAAGAAATAAGCAGATTAATACAGAAGAAAATCCAGATATAGTAAAAGCACCTCATTCATTTGTCATTCATCGTGGAATACCTGGAGAACATATTATTGAGCTTACAAAAAACTTTCGTAAAATTATGGAACCTTTTACAGCAATGTCTTTAAAAGAAAGAAAAAAGAATACAATTAAAGATTTTGTATCTATAGCTAGCATACTACATGTTACACATATGTGTATATTTTCAAAAACAGAACAAGGAATGTATTTTAAACTTTGCAGGTACCAAAATTAAATATAAATTAAATTTTTGCAAATTATATCATAAATATGTTATTAAATAATTAATTTTTAGAAAATATAATTATTAAATATATAATTAATTAATAAATATAAAATAGGTTACCAAGAGGACCAACACTTACATTTAAAATACATAGTTTTTCATTATCACGTGATGTAATATCTTTAATAAAAAAGCAAATGGTATATGAAGAATTATTTAACAATTCTCCGTTAGTAATATTAAATAATTTTAGTGGAGAAGGTATGCAACTAAAACTTATTGCTTCTATGTTTCAAAATATGTTTCCTACAATAAATTTGACTACAGTGAGTTTCATTCTAAACAATTTTATTTTAAATATTAAGTCAAATTAAATCATAATTTTATGTTATAAAATATATTTTGATTTTTTTATAGGTTAATTTAAGTACCATTCGTAGATGTTTGTGTTTAAATTATAATACAACATCAAAAACTATTGATCTTAGACATTATGCGATTAAAGTAATACCTGTTGGTTTGTCAAAAGGTGTTAAAAAACTAGTTCAAGCTAAAATACCAAATTTATCTAAATGTGAAGATTTTTCTGATTTTTTAACAAAAGAAACAGTTTCTGAAAGTGAAATTGAAGATGATCCTTTGAATCATGTTACATTACCACAAAAATTATCTTCACGTGGTAATCATGCAAATAATAAAAGTGCAATTAGACTTTCTGAATTGGGTCCTAGATTAACATTAGAGGTCAGAAATATTTCTTTTTATTAAATAATTTTAAAAAATATTATTACAAAAATTAATATTCTTTAAGATATTTTTAGTTAATAAAAGTTGAAGATGGACTTTTGGATGGTGAAGTACTTTATCATGAATATGTTTATAAATCTGAAGAAGAAAAACTCTTAATAAAAAAAAAACGAGAAGAAAAAAAGAAATTGAAGGAAAAAAGAAAAAAAATACAAGAAGAAAATAAGAAAAAGAAAGAATTACAGAAACAAGAACATAAAGAAAGATCTTTAAAGGGAATGCAGAAAAAGAAAGAAAGTGAAATATTATTACAAAAAATTGCAAAAGAATCAGTTGAAAAAAATAATATAGAGGAAGATGATGATGCACAATATTATCGTGATGAAATAGGAGAAGAACCTGATAAAGGTAATTTCAATCTTATATATTTAAAACAATTTCGATTCATTGATATTTTATATATAATTTATTTTTTGTCATAGATTTATTTGAAAGAAAAGTTGGTAACAAAAGACTTAAAAAATTTACATCTAAACATAAGATAAAAAAACAAAAACTTAGCAAGTCATGAAATATTTATTAAACACTATGATAATTCAGCACAAATATATATCAATTTGTAAAAAACTTATATATATGAACTTATAATATAAATATTATTTAGTAAATTTTATATAAAATTATAAATTCAATTTATATTTTTTATTTATTTATAAAAATAACAGTTATTATATTTTTATTATAATCCATTATAATTTTTTAATAGTTTCATTAATTATTTTGTCAATTATTAATCAAAATATTAATTTTATGACTAAATCAATTATCTTTTAATAAAACCATACATTTACAAAATTAAAGATATGATATGTATAATTCTCAATTCAGTCACTGTTATTTACAGTTTTAATATATACATATAGTACAGAAAGAGAATAAAAAATTATACTTTTTACTTGTTGGTCGTTGATTAAAATACATTTAATGCACATCCTTATCCTTAAAAACGAAAATTAATTTATGGATTTTTTCTATCCAAATGTCTGTTCAATTTTGTAACACTGCTATTCTGTTGATTAGATCTATCTTGCAATACTTCATGTGGCTTTAAAGAAAACGAACTTTGTATTTCTTCTAGTTCTTTTAAACGATCCTGCAATTCTCTTATTTGTCGAGCTCGAGAGCGGCATAAGTCTTTCATTAACATTTTTTCTTTTTCTAATTTTTCTATTTTCACATGATCCTATTTAAAAATTATAATCCAAAATAAGTATTGTAAATATTTTAAAAATTAATATATAAATATTTTTATATTACCTCGACAACTCCACTATTAGAACCACAAAAACGCACAGTGTTATTAGGTATTGTTTGACAAGCTTGATCTTTTCTATTTATACGCCATCGTCTACAAATGTCACATTCCCATGCATTAATATCATTCACAGTCCTTTGTAATTTCTTTACTTCATTATTTAATTCTGCATTCTGTTACATAAAATATATAAAGTTAAATATTTTTAATAATTGTTATAATTTGAGATTTTTTGAGAATTTGAGAATAAACTATATTCAATAAGTTATAATATTCATCAGTATTGCAATTAATTTCTTCAAAAACTTGAAAAGGAAATCAAAGGAAATTTCAAATTATATAAAACTATATAAAATTACCATTCCTATACATTTATAAACTAAATATCAATCTTTAATTATTTTTATATTTTATAACATACCTTATTACGAAACGCAAGTACAAGTTCTTCTAACTCTTTACATTTTCTTTGATATGGAAAATTCTCACTTTGAATTTGTATTTCTAATGTTGCAATTTTTCCATTTTTTGATACTAATTGTAATTCTAATTCATGAATTTTTTTCTTTAATTCTTCATATTTATTCTCGTATATTCCAACGTCTCTATCAGATATATTAGTTTTATATTGATTCTTTTTATTATCTTTGAGTATGCTATTTTCATGTACTTCGATTCTTAATTTCGTTTGAAGTTTCCTAATTTCATCTTTAAGTTTTCTATTCTCTAGTATGAAAAATTCTAATTTTTGTTTTATATCATTATTTGATTCATCTTTTGTTGAATGTAAATCTAAATTAGATAAATTTGAAATTTCTCGACTATGAATGGATTCCATTTCATTATCAAACTCATTTCTATTGTATTGTATTTGTATTAAACTCTTATTTTTTATTGTTAAATCTTGTACTTTTTTTATGTATTCTTTAATTTCTTTATCTTTTTGGCTCAATAATAATTTATGTCCTTCTAATTTTTTTATTATTTTATTTTTTTCTTCTTCAAGTTCTTTTATACGATGGTTTGCATCTCTTAAATCATTCTGTAATTTTTTATTCAAATTTTGTAATTGTTCCATATGTATTTCTTTAAATTTATTATCATCTATCTGTTTCTTATAAAAACTTAATTTTGTTTGCAATTCCAAATTTTGCTTTGTTAAGTCGCGAACAATATTTTCATTTTGTGATTTGATACTTTCTTCTACATTCATTTGTAATCTCATTCTAAGCGCATCAACTTGATCACGAAGTTTTTCATTTTCTTCATTACAATATTTTAATTTCTCTTCTAATTCATTAATAAGAACATTTTCAGAAAAACGAGAATATAATTTTTCTTCTAATTTTGAAATTTCAATATCTCGTTCTCTAATTACTGCTGCATATTCTTCTAATTCATCATCCAATTCTTTATTTTTATCAATTAATTTTTGTACTTGTGTGACATGTTCTTTTATATCTTTATCTTTTTGATTTAATAATATCTTTTTATCTTCCAATTCTAATGCAATTTTATTCTTCTCTAAAAGAAGTGCATCATATTTACTTTCGTCTATTAATGAATTTGAAGTTATGTGTTTCAAATTGTATAATGAAAACGTTTTCTTCAATTCATTATTTTCTTGTAATATAAGTTCATATTTACTTTTAACATCAATCAAATCTTTTAAAGTCTGATTTTTAATTTCTTGAAATTCCGCGACGCGATTACTTGCGCCTTCCAAATTGTTCTGCAATCTTTTATTTAATTCTTTTAATTCTTCTATTTCCGCTTCTGCTTTAATTTTGCTGGTACTATTTCTAATTTTTCTCTCTAACTTTATATTTGTTTCTTGAAGTTCTTTGAATCTTTCTTTCAAATTATTCAATTCTTCTATTATTGAAATATTCTTATTATTCAATTCATTTAAGTGTTTACTTAAGCTAGCATTTTTTATTTCTTCCATATTCATTTTATCTTTGATAATTTCCAATTGCTCTTCTCTTTCTTTTCTTAGTACTTCTATTTCTTCTTTATATTGTTCTATGGTCAATTTTTGATCTTTAATATGCTCCTTTAACATTTCATATTCAGGTAAAATTGTTTCAAGTTTTATTTTATATTCAGATAACAAATCACATTTGTTTTTTAAAATTGTTGTGATTTCTTCAATATGCGAATTCTTTTGTCTCATCTCTTGATTTATTTCATTATAAACTTGTGTAAGTTGTTCAAATTCTGCATTTATTTTTTCTATATTTTCATTTTTCTTTTTTATTTCAGACGAATTTGCTTCTATGATATTTTTCAATTGTTTTTCATTTATTTCAAGTCCTTCAACAGTGTTATTTAATTCAAAATTTTTTGTTTTGTAACATTCTATAGTTTGAATGAAATTATTTATTTTTTTTTCATACATTTCTTTTTCAGATTTAAGTTTCAACTGTAATTCTACTTCTTTATTTTTAAACATTTCTTGTGCTTCTTTTTCCCTTTTCTGAGCCTCAAAAATTGCCTCTTCCTGTTGATTGTCAACTTTATGTTGTTTATCAAATTCTGCTTGTAAATATATAAAATCTGTTTCTAATGTCTTCATTTTTTCTTTCAACATTTCATTTTCATGATTACTTTCTTTTAGAAAATGTTCTAATTGAAATATTTTATTTTGATATTCTTTATGAGAACGTTCTTCTTCTGTTAAATCTGTTTGAAGTTTTTCAATTTCTGCTTCTAATTCTTTGGCCCACATAACAGTACGTCTTTCTGTATCTATACATTGTTGTTTTTCTTCTTCTACTTTTTGTTTTTCCTTTTCATATGTTTCTCGTACAGTTTTAATTACTTCTTCTTCTTTAGATAAAAGCGTTTGTAAGAAAATTACAAAAATTTCATTTGCAGATTTATTTGAAAAATTTGGTAAATTTATATTACATTTAAGTGAACTGAGTTCTTTAATTATACATTTTTTAACATCATTTAATTCCTCATAAAATTGTTCCTTATCATTAATCAATTTTTTTTGTTCATCAAATAAATGTTCTTTTTCTATTGTTATTTCATTTAATTTTTCTTTGATATTTTGTAGACTAGTGAGCTCTTGTGTTAAATTCAAATTTTCATCAATATATTTATTTAATGTGTCATTTAATTTTTTTATATTGTTATCATTTTCTTTGATATACTGTTGATATTGCAGGACCATTGAATCTAATTCATTTTTATATTTCATTTCTAAATTATTCTTCATGTCAATTATTTCTGTTTCACTTGTTTGTAATTTTTCTATCAGATTATGTTTTTCTTCCTCTTTTTCTTGCAAAAGTTTTTCAAAATTAATATTTTTTTCTTGATATTCTTTAGAGATGTTTTCTTGATTTGTTATATTTCTTTGAAGATCGTTTACACATATTTCTAATTCTTTAATCTTTAGTATATTATGATGTTCCAATTCTTTATTTTGTAATTTTTCTTTTTCAAATTTCTCACATTGTTCTTTTAAATATTTTAACTCTTCTTCTTTGCATTTAATTGTAGTTGAATTAATTAACTCATTTTTCTGGCTTGTAATTAAATCTAATTCATTTTTGAGAGAAAAAATATGTTCATTTAATTCATTAATCAAAATATTTTTCTTCTCTTCTTCGACTTTTAAACCTTCCAATTCTACTTCTAACATAATTCTTTGTGTTTCCAATTTTTTTTCTTGTGTAGTAAATCGATCAATTTCTTTATTCATATTAATCAATTCATTTTCAAGAATTTGTATTTTAGTTATTGCTGTGCTCTCGTTATTTAATATTTTTTGTTCCAATTCTCCATTAACATCTTTTAGATTATTAATTTCATCTAACAAATTAATTTTCTCAGATTTAAATTCATTAAGTATAGCAGTAAAATTTATACTATTTTCTTTTATTTTATCTATATCATTTCTTATATGATCAATATAATTTTGAATTTGTTCTATTCTATTTTCACTTTTGTTTTTCTTTGATTGAGACTCTTGAATATTGGATGCATTTACAGTCATATCGCTTTGAAGTAATTTTGAGTCAGTATACTTATTTTCATACAGAATCAAGAGTTTATCATGTTCGGTTTTTAAAGTTTGTAGCTCGTCATTCAAATTTTGAATCTTTTTTTCAACAAAACTGACATTCATTTCATCAACAAAAATAACATTTGAAGATAGATCATGTTCACTTGAATTCAACTCCTGATTTACTTTATTTTTTAGAATATCAGTGTCCATACACTTACGATCGTATTTTCTTTGTAAATCTTTTAACTTTTGATTTAGAATTTTTGTTTCAAGTTTCAAAGTTCTGTAACTTTCATTCATATTTCTTAAATGTGCACATTGATTACAAGAAGTTAATTTTAAATCACTAAGTCTTTTATTTAGACGCGTCAAATGATCGATTTTGTTTTGCAATGTTATCACTTTATTTTCTAATTTTTCGTCAGTTTCTAATATTTCTTGTTCAATTTCATTAATATCCGTACTATCATTAAATATCTTTGATAAATGCAAAGAATTATTACATGATTTTTCATTTTGAACAGAATCAAGATTATCTATACTTTCTAATAAGCTAGTGGAGAATTTTTCATTTTCTTCAGATAATATTATTACTTTTGTTTTTAATTCTGCAATTTCTAGTTTTAAATTATTATTTTCCGTCTTTAAATGTTCTATGTCATTTTCAGCAACATTTTCATTTAGTACTAATGATTGTTCTATTTTGATTTTTAATATATCGCATTGTTCCTTTAACATATCATTTTCTTCAATCTTGTCTATTAATTCTGTAGAAAGTTCATTATTCTCCATTTGCAAACACTCATTTTGTTCTTTAAGAGTAACTACTTCTTTTTTATAAATGCAATCATGATCATATAAAAGTGATTTACTTTCTTTGATATTTTCAAGCTCTATATTTTTTTCTGCAATAGAAGCTGATAATTCAATGTTTTCTGTTGTTAATTTATCAATTTTATTTTGATATGATTCAAATAATTCTTTTTCATTATATACTGTTGGTATTTTAGAATACATAGATTCTAATTGATCATTCAAGGCCGCTAAATCACTTTGTAAAGTAATTTTTTCATTTGTAACTTGAGAAATGCGCGCATAAAGTTCATCAATTGTTTTCTGAAGATTAATTTCTGTTTGTTTCGCATTCTCTTGTTCTATAGTTAATTTAGTAGTCATTTCCATATTTTCAGTTGTTAATAAATAAATGGTTTCTTGCAAATTCTTTATATCTGTTTTAAGGCTTTGAACATCATTTTTGATATCTTCCAACTCTTGACTTTTTAGTTGAAGAGTTTCTTCTAAATAGCTTTTCTCTGCTTCTAAATTTAGGGTTAAATGTAAATTATCTGTATTAGTTTCATTCATTGTTAAGAAAGATAGGCTAGATTCATTTTTTAGTTGATCTTTTAAATCTTGATTCGTAGTTTGAATATCTTGTAAAACTTCTTTATTTTCTGTATAATGTAATTCAATAACATTTTCAAGTTCACTATTTTTTAAATTAGTATTTTCTATTTGTTTTTCTAATTCAGAAATTGCTTTCATATCTTCTTTACATGTAATTTGTTTTAACATAATTCTCGATTCTAGTTCAGAAGATTTTTCTTCAAGTTCTACATTTAAATGATTAAGATTTTCATTTTGTTCTGACATAATACATTCAATTTGCTTATTTAATTCAGAAATTTTTCTTGTTGTTTTTTGATTTTTGATTTGCTCTGATTCTAATGTAAAAGTTTTTTTACTTAAATCAAAATATAATTGAGTAATAATATGTTCAATTTCATCATTTTTGGATATTATATTTTCAATTTCTATTTCTAATTCGTCAATTATTTCTTTTATTTTCTGATTTTCAATTTTTTCTGTTATAACTTTTGTCTTTAAAGCAGAAATTTTTTTAGCCAATTTAATGCATAAATCTTTATTAATATAGCACTGTTCATTCTTTTCAAATTTCATACTTGTATTTTGATATTCAGTTTCTTTTACTATATATTTAGTCTTTAAGTCATTAGTTGTTTGATTCAATTTTGTATATAATTCATCATTGACACATTTTAGTTCAATTTCTTCAGAAGTCATCTTTACATCAGTTTGATTATCAATTTCATTTGATATTACATGTAAATTCAATTCAGAAATCTTTGCATTCAATTCAGCACGTAATTCAATATTAATACGCTTATATTCTTCTTTTTCAGACGTTAAATTATCAATTTGTGTTTCTAATTCAAAAATCTTTTCCATAATTTTCAAATTTTTAGTTTCTTCTGTTTTCTCTTTTAGTTCAAAATTTTTTTGTTCTAATTCAATGCTTAATTCATTATTGATTCGTTCGAGTTCATTTTTTTCAAATGCTGTATCCATAATCTGTTTCTCAATTTCCATTGCTATAAGATTTTCATTTTCCTTTGACATTATTATTAATTCAAATTCAGAACATTTTTTATCTAATTCAGCATGTAGTTCAATGTTAATACGCTGAAATTCATTTTTCTCTGATATTGTGTTTTCTAATTTTTCTTCCAATTCAGAAATTTTATCATTTGCTTTTTGATAAACAGTCTGTTGCGATGTAATCATAGATTTTAATTCTGTAGCATTCTTACTAAATTCAGTATTTATAAGTTCTAATTCATTTTTTTCAGAAATAATATTTTCGATTTTTTTTTCTAATTTAGAAATTTTTTCCACTGCTTCTTGATTTAAAGTTTGCTCGGATTCAATTTTTGATTCCAAATCTATAATTTTTTTATCTAATTCATTTTTTAATTCAATACTAAAGTTTTCATTTTTGTTTGAAATAATTTCTTCAATATGTTTTTCTAATTCAGATACTTTTTCGATTACTTTTTGTTTTTCTGTTTGTTCTGAAGCAATTTGTAATGCGAATTCTGCCGAAATTCGATTTAATTCAGCATGTAAGTCATCATTTATACATTTAAATTTATTTTTTTCAGTTGTAATATTTTCAATTATTGTCTCTAACTCTATTATTCTGTTACTTATTGTTTCAATATTTTCTGAATTATTTTTCATTTTCTCTAATTCTATAGATTTTTTATTTAATTCTATATGTAATTCTCGACGCATTTGCTCAAATTCATTTTTTTCTGAAGTAATATTTTCAAGTTGCTTTTGTAATTCTGTAATTTTTTTTGTTGAATCATTATGTAAATTAATATTAATGCATTCCAGTTTATTTTTTTCTGAAATAATATCCTCAATTTTTTTTTCTAAATCTGATATTTTCGATGTTTCCTCTTGTCTTATATTTTCTTCGGACATAATTTTCAAATCCAATTCTACTGTTTTGTTCTTCAATTCTGCACGTAATTCACGACTAATATATTCAAATTCATTTTTTTCAGAAGTAATGTCCTTAATTTTTTTTTCTAATAATTTTTTTTCAGAAATATTTTGTTTTTGAATTTGATTCAGTTTAATACATAATTCAGAAATTATATATTCTGAATTTGTTTCTTCTGCAAGGTTAAGAGTCATAAGTTGTTCTTTCACTTCTGAATTATATTCTGGTTTATAATATTTCAGAGTTGATTTTATTTGTTCTGGTTGTTTTATTTCTGTTTGTAAATCCTAAAATAAAAGATTCAATATTATATATAAAAAAAATATAACGAATATATTATTATATCATATAATTGATTATATTTACTTGTGTATGGCATTGGCATATTAATTGCCTTTCTAGAGTTGTAAATTCACGAAGTTCTACAAATTCTTTTGTTAAATCTGTGATATATCGTCGTAAAACATGTTTTGGCGTAGAAGGAGAAATCTGACAACTGTTACAATTTTAAAAAATAAAGATGTGAAAGTTTTATAATTTATTAATTTTTATCTTACCTTACAGTTTGAGTATAACTATTAGATTTTTCTGGTGTTACATCAAAACTATTGTTTTTAGGTTTTATATTTACAACATCATCTCTAAAAGTAACTCGGTTTTTATGTTTTATTACAAATGATTCTTCGTCACTATCACTTATATTTTCTCTAGATTCACGTTCTCTTTCAGTTTCAAATAATTCTAACTCAAAATCAGTAAAAGCAGTTTGAAATGCTATAAAAAATAAAAAACAATATATTATTTATTATTTATACAAATATCAGTATATTATTTATATTATTATAAATATATAATATATAATATGTAATATATAAATTTAAAAATAATATAATAAATTTACTTTGATTCATTATATCCATAGATTGAATTATACTTTTCCTATTTGGTATTTCAGATATTTCTTTTATAGTTGGTAAACCAGTTTTAGATTGAAAAACTGCTAAATGATGATTAAACATTCCAGGACCTCCCCATGTTTGTCTTCTTTTAAATTCGTATTTTAAAGAATCTTTTTGATTTGTATTATCTCCAGAAACAATACGAGTTTTTAATAATTCTATACGTTCTTCTAATAATTGATTAATACGATCTTTTTCTTGTAATTTAGATTCCATTTCTTTAACTTCTTCAGATCGATTTTCATTTTTTATTTTCTAAAATAACATTAATAAAAATAGAACTTTAGACAAAATGAATCTTAGATAATTTCTCAAAATAATTCAAATAAGAAACCTCTAATTCTTGTTGAAGTTTAGCCAATTGCTTTGCGTAACGTTTCAAAAGTGCTCCATCAGACATAACTTCATTAATTTGTGGTTTATTCTTTACACTTTTTGCCCGATATGCGAAACTAAAAATGAATAAAATAAAATTTAAATAATAAAATAACAATAATATATAAACGATAAATGATATAAATATACATCATATGTATATTAAAATAGCAATATACTAACGATAAAGTACACTGAGTCTCCTCTAAAGCAACAGGAGTCACTGCACATATTATTGCTGTCATAGCATTGCCACCTAGTGAATTCTGAAGTAATCTTGTTAATTTACTATCACGAAAATTAACATGTTTTTGATTATCCTGAGATTCACTTAATTGTTTGATTACTAAACCTAATGTTGATAGAGATAAATTAATATGTCTTCCTTCTTTGAATCTTTCTCCAGTAGCTCCTGTTTGTCTTGCTCTTTCAGAACCAGCAAGATCTATTAAGTTCAATTGTGATACTTGTATAGCACTATCTGAATCTCCTCCAGCCTCTCTACTTTCAATTGTCTGAATAGAATTGTAGAATTTATGTGATTGAATTTAAGATATATTATATATATAAAATTATTGATATAAACTTACAATTCTAAATATAGTATGACTTCTACTACTACGTTCATTCATATTAGTTTCTCCTGTTCTTCTATTTTTATTCCCTTTTTTCATAATGGACAATACATTTTCAGGACTATTGGTGATTTCTTCTTTACATAGCAAAATTACTTGCCCATTGCCATCTTCTTTTAACTTCAAATCAGTCCCATTTTTATTCAAAAGATCATTAACTCTTTCATTATAAATTTCTAAATAAGATACTCTAAAAAATAAGTTATTTTTTATATATATAATTACATTAAATTTATCAATATTATTATTATAAGTTTTATTAAGAAAAACATATAAACCTTAATAAAAATTCACGTCCCATAGTATTAGCAATAGTATCAAACATATATTGTATAGCAAGTGGTATAATTCCTAATTCTTCTGTACCACCCATCATAGTGTATGTTTTACCAGAACTTGTTTGACCATATGCAAATACTGTACCATTAAAGCCATTTACAGCAGCATTAACAATAGGTTTTACAACAACATTAAATACATCTGAATTAGATGCATTTACATCAAAAATATGATCTATAAATATATTAAAAACAGCTGAATTTGTATAATTCATTATATTTATCTAATAATTAATTCATCTAATAATTACATCATATAATAGTAATTTAAATAAATAATGATAAATACAAAAAAACATTATATCTATCTGTATATATACCAAAAATAAATCTTCCATCTCCTCGCTTTTTCATTTCTAAATCTGTAGAAACAATAGAATTTTCTTGAACTATCCATTGTATTGATAAATTATCATCCTTTTCACGTTTAATCAAAGGTCTCACTTTAATGGCAACTTTAATACTGTCTGACATTTTTATAAACTATTTTTTTAAATTAATGAATAATTAATAATATTTATTTATTATTAGATAATTTTTTAATTTATATTTATTTATTCTGTTTGTATACTATAACGGTTGATACTTACATAGTGAAGCCGCCATTTGAAAAATTGACTCTTTCAACTTTCGTTTGAATTTGAATTTTCTGTAATTTGATTGGTTCATTAAAGCATATAGTTACTATTAATAAGATAGATAACAAATAGCCTACTTCAAATATAAATCGTGATTTTCAACAATACTATTTTTATAAACATTGGGAATAAATTTTGATTAATATAGAATGACAGTAAATACGTATATATATATATATATATAAAGTACTAAACATAAATATACTAAATATAAATATAATTTTTTTTCACTATAATTATGAACTTCAAAATTATCATCGCTTGTAACAATATTTTTATTGCATTATAATAGAAAATACAAATATAATTTTTAATTTATGAATATTTCAATTCATATACGAGTCGAAAGATTTATAAATATAATTCAATACATATAATGCATAAGAGCATTTAAAAAAAGATTCAAAATGCCAAAGAAATTATTTTTGAAATTTGTTGCCTACTAATGTTTATGATTGAATTGAATATAATTTCTGCATTCATTATTCTATCGTAGAGGACATACATTCTGATTTTTTATGATCAGTATTTCAGAACATGAAATAGTATTATATTTGTTTATACTTTGTTTTTAGTTATAGCATAAAATATTATAATATAAAATTTAATTAATGAGAAAAAAAATTTTTTAAATTTACAAAAAGATATATTCATTTTATATTTTTCATTATTTTTATTAATTCCCAATCGTCAAAATCATTTATTTAAAATTATTCTTGAGTTTTTATCTTCATGATTATATATATAATAAACTGTTTGTCATTAGACAATTGCAATCTAAGTAAAAATTAGAAATATAACATTAATCAGCTTTCTTATTAGCTAATTTTAACCAATTTTTAAATCTTTAATTAAAAAAAATGGCATTTCATTAACTTTTTATGATCTAAAATTTAGATTTAAGATTAATGTTAAAATCAGAAACAATATCATTAGGATTTAACATTTGAATATGTAGATCTGCTAATAAAATCTTTTAACTATAGATAACTATATATATAGATTGACTATTATAATCAATTATATTATCATTTTGAAATGAAATTGCATGATAATAAAATGCATGATATATATATA